ATAAAAAGCTGCCAAGCAACTGAAACCGTGGTTTACCTTTACTTTTTCGTCATTTTGATTGTGAAAAAAAGTTTTACCTAAAGGAACTACTTCTGTTTTAGACCCAAAATTAAAGCAATATCTAAGCAATGAAAAGGTAATTCAAACTATCTGTAAATTGGTACGATTAGTTTTGATTAAAGGTACTCGATTCAATTCTTTTTCAATAACAATTTAAGTGTTACTGTCGTTTAGTCATCAGTATTTATTAGCACGCCAAAACTGATGCTCTATTTTCGAAACCTCGTTAAAGTTATGATTGGAAAATCTTTGACTGTTTGACTACAAAAAATCTGTTTTTACCTTCTTTACCTTCATTTTTAAAAGTGTGATTAACCAATACACTCAAGCAATAAGACGTTTGTAATTGAGAATGAATGAATTAATAGCGAATTGTTAATCATGTCATTGTTAATCATTCAATTAAGAGTTAATTTATGGAAGCTATTTAAATGAGAATGGAGTAATTAAGAGCGAAATGCCATATCATTGTCTATTTTTTTTAAGTTAAGGGCCAGTCAACTTATTCGCCCATCCAAACATTTCTACAGTGAATGGAAAGTTATTTTATAATGTAAAATAAGTGTTTTGAATAAGCTAATGCAGTTCAATATAAAACAAATAATATTTTCATTAAAGCATTTAGTTTATTTGGTCGTAGTTAGATTAATTATACTGATTGGAAGATGTGTCATTAGATTAAGTGAATGAATGAAGCATTCAACTTAGCTCCTAACAAATACAAGTGTCGTATTAACGAAAAAAGACTTTAAAAATTTATTCGATAATAATTTTGTGCATAAATATTTCTCATAACCGCCATAATACCAGATTTAATACGTTTTTTGAATTCGTTGCTTTAATACCATATTTGTATAGTTATTCAATTTATTTAGCTTTATTAGTGTTAAATTTAATTTTGTTGGTTCGTGCGACAGGACAGACATTGAAGTTCCAACTGCCTCCCAAAATAGCAATGGAAACTCGTATTAACGAATGTGGGTGTTAAAATTGCCCTCATTCAGCATCTTAAAACTGCAAATAACACCATTTTCAATGCTCCTAATCTATTTAGAGTTTGTCAAATTAAAGTTATCTATCTGATCAAGAATCCGATGTATTACTTGAACGTAGATAATTAAATTAAAGGTCCTAATGCCGGAGTCATTTTTTCACGTATCTCCCAAGCTCTCTTCGTGACTTGTTGAGTAGGGGAGGAGGGGAGGAGAGAAAGTGAAATCTGTGTACATATTTTCTTATTTATTAAAACTGTTTTTTTAAATTGTTAAATGAAAATTCATTCTGATATAGCCTGTTGATTTGAGAAAACGATACTTAATTTATTAAACGATGAATCCAACGACAAATGAGTTTATTACAGTAGTGACTAAAAGGCAATAAAGTGCATTTTAATTCACTTTTAGTAGTAACTTTATTATTCAAAATTTATCCACCCAATTAACAATTAAGATGTGCTATACGGTTAATACAAAGTTCAATATTTTAGTTTTACAAGCATTAATTAATTTAAAATAGTTTACTACTTTCATTAATTTATAGTTAATGAACTGATTAATGATTTCGATTTAAATCAGTTAGTTGTTAACGTAGATGGGGACTAAGGCACATATATTTTATGCTCAAATTTTGGAATTCATTCTTATTTACAATTCCTTGTTCTTGTAACTAAGCCAAACTCTCTCATTACCATCAGACAGTCATTATCAGTCGACATCTAAGGTAATTTCGATCATACTTCATGTTAAACTTAAATAGCCACCAAACGGCAACCATAAACACTCCTAGTTTTTAGGATTGACTTTACGGTATTTCGTTTATATTTCTTACACTTAGGGGAGGGGGGAGGGGGGGGGGGTCAAATATATCCCGTATTATTTTTCATCAAGATCAACACCCAAGCTATTCCCTTTAGCAACCTTTAGCCCCACCCACAGCCAGTTCATCAGTTCAGCTGTACTCCACTTCAAAATAGCAACCAACCACTCCCTCTTCCTGATTTTTTCCTAATTTTTTTTTATAAATTCCTCTAATAAAGCATTTTTCCTTCTACATTTCGTTTCAAAAAATTAAAAAGTACTATTGAGCAGAAAATTGCACGAAGTAATAAATTCCAGAAAAAGTATGATTTTAAAAGTTAAACTTCTCCATAGTTGTCCGCATTTTGAATGCACTACTGGGTCAATTGTTTGGCACTTAGAGAATAAATATCCAGTTTGAATAAAGCTCTTTTAAGGGAAGTATGAAAGGACTGAATTTGTAAAGTTTACGCTGGTGCATAGAATGCAGCCCTTGAAATTTCAGTCCTATAAATAAAGAATTTCTACCTTCTTGTTAGAAGACGAGCAAATTAAATTGGGCACTAAGATAATCAAATTTCTTTATTTTTTAATGTAAAAAGTTTTATGTTTATTTTACTAACATATGAACATAATAGAATCATTTAAATACCATTGAAACAAAAAAGTAATATTAGAGATATCTTTGTATTTTAAATTAATAACTTGAAAATCAATCATAATTACCTTAGATGTTTTCTCGTTGAAAGAAAGATGATGAGGCGCAAAAACGATTTACTGGTTAGTAGTGACAACGAATCAAGGCGGAAATTATATCATTTCATCGTGATTTAATAGGAGAGAATAAAAATTAGCTTTCAGTTTATTTAAATGGAAGTAAAAATTATGGTTATACTGTTTCATGGGACATAAAAGTAAAGAATATTTGTTTCCAAGTTGAGACATTAAAGACAAAAAATACCAATGACAGTAATTATTAAATTGATTTTAAACATCAATAAGATTAATTTCAGGCCTTCACAATTTATGATAATCAATATATTAAAAGACAACAAAATTGTAAATTTTAAAATTCGTAAAAACTTGAAACTAAATCGCAGGGATGAACTACGGTGCATTTGTTACAACGGGGAGTTTTTGGGATTAAGTGCCAAGAATCGTAAAAATCATAAAATCCCTCAACTTGAGCAGAAATAAAAGTAATAAATAAATTGAATAAAATCTCATACATAATATTAGTCGCGATAATATTTATAATTGTAAGTTTCGAGAGAATAAGTTCATTTTCATTGGTGTCCCGGGTGATATTATTGTATTTAAAGAACATATATAGATAGATGCTCAGGAGAGAGGCTAGGGGCATTGTTTTACTACAATAAGGAGATTATTTTATAATTATTTTTAAAAGTCCCGTTATATATATATATATAATATTTCGTGAAATGTATTCTATGATTTTAGCAAGGCGAAACGGAATTTTAAGAAAACCACTCACAATTCCATTACAAGATAACAGGAATCGTAATCCTCAAAGGCGTCGATCAACTGTACGATATTGGGATGCTGAAGTCTAAAAATGCATAGTTATTACAAAAAACTGTCACCTCCGAAGAACTGATATTTCATTCTTTAACGAATCTTCCCTTGTTTTAAAATCACCCTCATTGGTTTTGCTGTCTTCGTTATTATTCATGCTGCTACGTTTTCTAATGCATTTGATGGCGCAAAACGTCCCTGGACTCAGCTTATCTTCTGCCAAACGGACTTCGGAAAATGCTCCACTTTAAATGTCATAAAATCATTAAAAGATCTTACGTTCCGAGAAGCTCTTTAAGGCAATATCTGTCTATTGATTTTGGATTTATCGTCATTTTTGAGAAATTGAACAGGTGCACATAAAATAAAGTGTCCTAAATACCTTTATTAATAAGCATAAACAAACAACGAGTTCATATAGTAAGGCTTCGTTAAGAAACACTGCTATATTATTTCATTTTCATAAATGAAATATTCAAATTATTACATATTCATTAATCTTATATGAAATAATTTATTATATTCTGTTATTTGGACACTTAGTCACACTTAGTTAATTATTTTCGCGATAGGCTGGGCAAATGAAAATATATCGGATTTAAGCTTAACAATTGGTCATATCAAATCATCGCTTTGAGAGGCTCGAGCATTAATGTAAATTTTCACTCCGTATTGACCGTCCTAAAACTTCTGCTCCTACTTATTCTTACTAGTTAACGTGTCCTTTTATTATTTAGGCTCATTGCTTCTCATTATATATCCAGTGATATTATCTTTCTTGGATTTTGTACCCTACAAAATTAAGTCAAAATTCTTTTTGGAAAGTGGATTTGAAACCTCAGTATGCTTTTTATTGCAAATAGAATTCGTGATGCCAAAGTTCTCTTTGAAATGACTCAGCTAAAACTGGAGCTCTCAGCTGTTGTTGTAAGAGTAATTCCATTAATACAATTACAACTATTAATAAATTGTCATTATTGCAGTTATGCGACAGTAATACCCTTACAATCTAGTCTGACATTAATCTCGGATAATAAGCAAGAGGAATTTTGATATTTTCTTGCTAAAATTGGGCCTTATATAGATGCATATATTTAGGCATTTTGGATTTCATTTCTCTTAACTCAGTTTTTGGTTTCCTTGGATTCAGAAATTCTTTGGAACTAAAATTTTCTTATGCATATACTTGACCGATTTCCCACCAACTGAAATCATTTATCGCTCCTTCTATATATGAACAGAAATAAATTTAGCATCACTGTGTTAAAAGTAGCTTTCACAATTTACTGAAACTTTTCCTCCTTGCTAATTTCCACTTTAATTTCCTAACTCAAATGCTTTCCGTTCCCCAATGACTTAATACGAATACTGCATAGCACTACTAATATCAGGTTGTTTGCAAACGTAGTTTAAGCTCGTGTAACTTATATTCTGACGAAAATACCCCAAGTGTGGTTTAAACAGCTTCGGCAAATCAAAACATAAAATGATGGAGAGCATTATTTATTAAAGGAATATTATTTACGTATAAAAATAGTCGCCCAAAAAGGTTGCAGGCGAAACAATTAAAAATTGCTTCTTCAAATATCGATTAACAATTTCTGTATATTACTTCACGCGATATAGAATTCTTCTTTGCATTCTATATTGAATCTCACCACGTCTAATCATATAATGCAACACTTTAGCCACCGTCCTCTCGGAAAAACCCTAAAACGCAAAGCGAATATATTTAAACAGAAGAACACGAAATAACCGATAAGCATGCGAAATACCAACCTGGCGAGTGAAGTCTTGGAGAATGGCATGCTCGGACACTTGTGAACCAATAACAAAACGTTTCTTCAGTTGCTTCTCCACTCTTATAATAAGGTCGTGCTCCTCCTGGCTTGTAAAGCCCTCGGCTCCCTCTAGACTTCCAGTCATGAAAGCTTCTAGTGTCGAGACCTGGAACAAACGCATCGCTTCGTCAACATCGGCTTCGGTAGCAAAAGCGTCCAGACGCATCTTAGCCAAGGATTCAGAAATACGCACGATAGCTTCCAGTTGTCTGTTAAGGGAAATACGTCACCGCAGATATTTAAGAAATATATCTTCTAACATTAACAAGATAATGCTGATATTATATAGAGCAAAAACTTTAAAAGAGCGTTTTAAAAGTATACATCAGCTTCTCATGACTGATTAAAAGAGACTAGACGACCTTTAATTGCAATAAGTGAATGAAAAGTCGTTTGATACACTTATAACCATCAAAACCCCAAACCAAGCGTAATATCTTAAAATACTATGATGCGAGGTCTAAATTTTAAGGAAGGACATATCCCAATTTGGATTAGTGATAATTTATCTCTATTCTTAAATAAACATTGCACTGAGAACCATATACTATCACTATCCAATATATGACGGGAACTTTAAATAACAATTTACGATCCCATCCAACGAGGTGAGACGATTAATTGACTCACCGAACGGTAATGGGAATATTACCACGCTTTCCGGTCTGCTGTTCATGACGACTAGCGCCAGATCTCATTAACACATATTGATTTGCTAGCTTTTCAGTAGCGGCTGGTGATAAACGCGGTCCACAACGCTCTCTAGCAAAAGCAATGAAACGACGGAGCACTGACAGCGGGATTTCGCCATTTGAAGAGGCGTCTTCAGCCATTTCATTATTTGCAACCGCATCACTACAAAGGGCAGAGAATTTAGTTTAAAACGCGCATAATGGCTATAGATGTAAGGACACTAAAAAGACTGACTTTCCATGTAGATGAACCTGCATAACATGATGAGCAAGGATACTATCCTTAGCGGCATCGTGCTCGTCTTTGACAACGAAAATCATGTCGAAACGTGAGAGGATGGTGGGCATAAAATCAATATTGCTTTCAGCCTTTGAGTCGTCCCAACGACCAAAGACACTATTAGCAGCAGCTAAGACAGAACAACGACTGTTTAATGATGTAGTTATACCGGCTTTTGCAATTGAGATTGTCTGCTGTTCCATAGCTTCATGAATAGCAACTCGATCATCTTCTCTCATCTTGTCAAACTCATCGATGCATACAACACCGCCGTCGGCTAACACCATTGCGCCACCTTCCATAACGAAATTGTGCTAGATTTTCATGGAAAAAATCAGCACTAGTGAAAATTCACAATCACTAGAGATGAGAGAACAACTTACCGTTGCTGGATCACGAATAATCGATGCAGTGAGACCAGCTGCTGAACTACCTTTACCAGAAGTATAAACACCAACAGGTGCACATCTCTCCACGAACTTAAGAAGCTGAGACTTGGCGGTACCCGGATCTCCAATAAGTAATAAATTAATGTCACCACGACGACATAACCCATCCGGCAAACTGGAAGAAGGAAACAATAGCATTAACGCATAACAGACATCGACACTAATTAAGTACTTTGATGAACAGACCGTTTTCGAGAACCACCAAAAAGAAGACAAGCAATGGCCTTCTTGATATCCAAACTGCCGTAAATGGAGGGTGCGATACTGCGAGCGATGAGCTCGTAAATATTTGGTGTATTGGCAAGTTTTCGCATTTCCTCTTCTTCTAATTCCGTAGTAATTGTGGAGGTATGTAGTAATCTCCCAGCCGAGAAAACACCACTGCGACCCGGTCCCTCTGTGTTGAGGCTTAAACCGAGGGCTCGAATGTAGGAGTTACGAACACCGACATTTACGCGTTCATGAGCTCCCGTTCTTGGCTGATTGAATTTTACGAAAATTAGATTTACTCACCTTGTTGGTAGGAGATGTTTGGATAGAATAGATACCGACGACAGTAATTCGGTTACCCGGAGCAACCTGCTCAACTAGATATCGATCACAGTAGATCTGCACATGTCTAGGCATTTCACCCTGTGGAATGGAATCTGGAGATTCTTGCAATTTCAAAACTTGATAATCGACGCATTCACATTTATCTGGAACAATGAAGAACGGGTCAACTGGACAAGGAACTGAAACGCCACCGGCCATGGAACTTGGGCATTTTCTCGGGAGCATATAGCCATCGAAACCAGGTTTAACGCGAATATTCGGTAAATATTGGCGACATCCACGGCATTGAAGTGTTAAACGAGTGGCTTTTGATTTTACACTAGAAGCAGACACCACGATTCCTGATATTTTAACCAGTTTAGCAACCCGTTCCGATTGCATATCTCGAATGTGAACAGGGGCTGCATCCCAATCTAGCAAAAGTTGAATCGGTGGCAAAGTCTCATTGGCCTCTAACGAGGATTTCATTATTTCACTGGCGACCTCAGTTGTTGCTTCTTCAAACTAGAAGCGAGTAACAAATAATAAAATCACTTACGGTCGCAATATAATCCACTGGATGAACAATAAGTTCTTGAGCTAGAAATGTATCGAAGTTGTTTAAATCTTGAATCTTTAGAGTCAAATTATAGATTTTCAATGTGCAATTTTGCTTAAGTTGGTCCCTATAGAAGGCCATAATTGGAAATTAGAAACTACCTATAGCCAAAGGACAGCCCACCAACATTGTACTGACGAAGAAAATCCTTGAATTTTTTCTTAGCTTGTTGGAAACTTGCAAAATTATCACGATCACCAGCCTGAGTGAACAAACTATCAGAACGATACACAGCACCACTATCAAAGCCAGCCATCGAGTACAAAAAACAAAGTCAGCGGAATTTCGCGAATAGGTATTTGTGATTGTATTAAACTGGCTTAAGGTCAAGCATATATGCATGAAACACAATGGAAACGAAGTGGTTTAAAAAATTATTTCCCATTCGAAAATAATAAATATGTTTTATTTTCCAGGAAAGAATATATTCATCACTTTTTAATTAAATCATTGAGAATTCAACAGCATGTTCAGATAAGAACAAATTAAACAAAAACACAAAAGATATGAAAGCTAAATTTACTTAATTATTGAAACATTAAATCAGCACGTGCATGATTGTGATTTTATGTTTCATATTTCTAAAACGTATTGCTTTCTCGAGAAGAATAAATACATGGATTGGTATATTTATTATATTTAATGAGATGGTTTGATAATACTTCTGGTAGTCATATGTATTTGCACAAGATTTCATGTGTCTAATGTTTACCCTATTTGAATAATTTAGTCTTGAAAATCTCAGATTGGGGTATGATATTTTTTAATGTTTTCGTCATTAGCAAACAATGGTTTGAAAATTCATGGAACGAAGTTGCCAGGGAAGGCGCTAAATCCCAAACCTATATGATAAGTAGATAAAGATACTGTGCGAATAATGTACACACTCAATGGCAATCAAATGAAAACAAATTTGGCAGTAGCTCACTAATTTAAACGTATATCACGAGGTCGATTAATAAAAATAATAACTCCAACTTATAAAAATGACAAATAAATGCTATCTTTACCCCAAAATATGAGTTAGACTTAGATATTAACACCATTGTACTATTTTATCAATTGTAAAATATTATTGTGTGTAATCCTATTTGGAATTAAAAAAAGATCGTTTTAACTTGGAAGTAAAAACGCGCACTTTAGAATTGGCTGAAAAATATCACATAACCCGATTACACACTGGTAAAATTAATTAATAATGTTACATCTATTTAAACATTATCGCTTGATGACTAAAAGGTTGTCATTGCCTGTACTTCCATTTGCCTTTTTTTTAATTTATTTAATTGTTTTCATTTTTCGATTCGATCACTTATTTATTTCTAATTTTTCATATTTCCTTTTGATTATGGGTTAGTTAATATTTTCGTTTTTATTTAGTCTACTTTAAGATTTAACTACAAGTTGTGTTTCATTTATTTTATGTTTAATTAAAATTTTCGCTATCAAATGCATTTTCCTTCACAAATTCACGTTTTTGTACAATATGTTTCGAACTTATTTGCACCCCTACAAGGATAGAAAGTGTGTTATCTGTCGTGAGGAATTGGTTCTCCCAAAATTGTCTTAATTACAAGTCAAATCCCCACATATTCAGATATTTTGTGATTCTTGCTTCCTCTTCTTATATTTAATTTCGTACTCATTTCGTTGAATCTCTTTTTTTTATTTTCTTATTCTAGGAGTTTAACTGATGAAAAGCAATTCAATCCCTGTAGCTAACGTCACTTGGGATGATATTTCGTCGCAGATAAAGAAGAACGTCTTCGAACAGAAGAGCATTCTCGCACAATTCCCACTTGAAGCTGCTGTTATCAGCGCTCGTGAAATTGTTCTTAGTTTAGCCGTAAGTTTGAACTGATATTTATTAAACTTTAGCTTTTCTGAAAGCGGTTTTACGTAGTATTTTAATTCAATTATTATGTTCTACAGCTTTATTCACTTTTATTGGTAATTTATCGAAATGCAACTGGATTTCTTTGATTATTTTTAATTTTATTGCATAGATGGTAGTCAGTCTTCAATCAAAATTTTTAAATAATACGAGGGCACGAAGTCATGACGTTTTATTGTTAATCCTAGACAAAATTTTCTAGTCAGAAAAATGTCAATTAAAGGGATCCATATTTTTCTTGTATGCTACTTTCCCTCTATGTAAAATAGCTCTCGAATTTTGGACATTCTAGTTTTTTTATTACGATAGAAACCATCTCAAACAAATTCAAATCTAACTATGCGATATTAAAGCAGTTGAACATTGTGGAAGCTCTTTCAAGTGTTATAACTGGATAATATGCCTTGTTTCTTCTTCTTTTCTTGGTTTAGGCTGACTGTTCCTGTAAAAAGGACGCGGAGAATGCGCTGGTGCAAGCAACTGCTGAGGCTGCCTCCTTAGCTCAAACTTCACAAAAACGCGCACCTGGTCGGCATGCCGGCAATTCATTTGGCGATGTCATTCGAAGTGGGAGTGGGAGTGGGGGAGGATCCAGACTTTCTATATCAGAAGTAGAGGCGAGATCTAAAGGCTTCTCTGTGAAGTTGGATAGTGAAGCAGATTTACAGTGGGTCATGCAGGTAGGATCTGGGAGAATTTACTATTCACTATTTTTTTATTGTAAAGTTCTAATGATAAAATAGACTATTTTTTTACTTTTTTTCTCCAAATTGCCTTCATTAATCGGCAAACACCTTTTCACTGTTTTTGTTTCATTTTGGCAATTATATTCCTCTCATTGCTTAGTCTATTAATATTGGACTAATAATAATCTGTAAACAAACACCGAAGATATGGCTCCATACGTGGATTCACATTTTGCTTTAAATTCTAGTGGTTCTGGCATTTATCGCCTTTGGCCATTATAGGCTTGAGCTTATCAACGTTGGGCATCTCATATACCAGTAGAAAATAAATACACAATTTTTTTCCTCTAATATATTTCATACGTTTCTTAGACTTCTTAGGAATGTTCTCAAATTCACATGAGGTGCAGCGATTGTAGGGAGATTGTGAGTGCTTGGCATTCGTGGTTTGTAATTGGATTTGATTGTATCCATATTTGAGCGAAGGTTACTCTCTATTTTAATAGCACTCGAGTAACTAGACGATTGAAATGTGTGGAATTGTCATCTTTCTTATTTGTTTTTTTATGGTAAACAAAATTAGTTGTATCACTTAAATGCTTAAAATTAAAAAAATACCTGACCTAAGAAGGTAATTTTTTAATATAATTATATATATATTCTCCGACTACCTGAATCTATATTTCTTAGTAAACTCTTTATTCCGTTATATATATATATATATATATATATATATATATATATATCACTTGAAATAACTGCCGCTGATGTCAACTTTGGAAATTCAGTAGCAAAGAATAAAACGTTTTATATGGCATAAATTTTCTTGAAAAGGTTATTGGTCGCAACATTGATTCACAAGACGCAAAATACTATCACTGAAATTCACGAGCATTGTAGGGATGAATGAAAATATCACACACACAGAAATTTATAAACCACCTTTTCTGCGATCTAATCTGTTTTGTTGAATTATCAATCGACTGAAATTTTGGTGGGATTAAAGCGTGGTTCTGTTTCCTTCCTTTTTCGTGACGATACAAAACCTCTTGCAACTTTCAATCCTCTGATCAAACCACGGAGCCCAATAGGCCAACGAGGAATGGATGTGGGGTTGAAAAGTGTGCACTTTAGTCCTGCTACCCGGAGTCCTTTAATTGAAATCTGAAATTATTGCGTTTTTCGCCAATTGGTGACATCAAGTTTTCCAAAGGTGTAATTATTTGTTTATTTCAAGTGACAGGCGTTTTGATAGTTATCATTACCCCTTTAGCTCACTTCGGGCTTCACAGAGGAGAGGGGGAACAGAAGAGTAGTTCAAAGATGTAAAAGAGATAGATAGACACAAAGGCAGAGAAAAGGTAAGATGGGTACTATGGAAGTTGTCGAATATGATATACAGTGGGGTAATGGTAGTTTGATGTCTGAAGTAAACTGTCGGTCTGTAGACTTCTTTTTGCGTATGAGAATACGTTGCCCAGGGTGTACCAAGTGGAGGTAAGTCTATCGCGCACCCCAGTTCTCCAAAGGCTACTTTGTAGCATTTGCAGTTTAAAAATGAAATTCTTTGCCAAATACCTCTTGATTTCCTTCCCTCTAATCCGGCGTTATTAAATTAGTTGTCTTTGGAATCGTAAATTTTCTCCTTTGTCCTCTAACTTTACTTGATATAATTATTAACACGGACAATAATAATCCCTAATTTATTAAGGCAATCAACTACGGATTGACAATGCCTCCGGAAAATTGGGAGATAGTCGCTCACAGCGTGCACATCTATTGCCTCTGGTTGGGCTGCCTCCTACCCGCCCCGGTTTATAGTCATGGCCAGAAGGGTGTCCAGCAGCCGCTGCCTCACGCCCTTCTCGTCAACCCCCTCTCCTATGCGCCTCGCCTTCTCTTTGCTCTCTGTCGCTTCTTCACTCCTCGTAATGTCTTCAAGACTGCTGACGCCGCTGATCTCACCGATACCTTCTTTGGCTTGCTCCATCAATCACCACAGGCGCCGCCCGATCCTGTGTGTACTGCTGCCATCAAGGATATTGTGAAAGGTGGGAAGAACTGCTCTGAAAGGCTACTTTACTCGCTTTTTTCTTCTTATTTTGCACACTCAGCGTGTGAATTCCGGTCTATTTTCTATCCCTTGTTTTCACTTAAAGGTGCTAAAATCTTACCTTCAATGCCGTAGTTATTATTCCCCATTAAATGTGTGTACGTTGTGAGCATATTTATTAAGAACGCGCGATGCATCTTTCTTGTCAATCATTTTAGCTTTCGCTCGCACTCCTGCTCTCATGCAATTCAGTGACAATTTTTTTTAATGAAGAAAGTGATTTCTTTGGCCTATTTATCAGACAAGGGGTTATCATTCGACGTTAACGCTTGTGTCTACTCCATAGAACAGTCCTCGTTTGTTGGTGTTGTCGTTATGGTTTGTCAAAAAACGTCGTTACTCAGTCAAGTCACTTGTGTTGTGATGCAACCTCTACATGCCGTGAGTCATGGTGTTACACGACTTTACTTTGATGACGTAAACAATATACAACTGAAGTAAATCGCATTATGATTAGCTATACCGTGACTTTCTAAAGTGCCATGTTGGTTTTTCTCGAAAGACCCGACAAAGGTTTCTACTTGCTCCCCTTCATTTGATTATCAATTTTTGAAATCTTGGCTGTTCTGTTTTGCGCAAAAGTATATATTTATTTCAAATGGCAGGCATTTTGATAGATATCATTAGCCATTTAGCTGACTTCGGGCTTCACAGAGGGAAGGTTCATCAAAGGAGCAGAAATTCGAGGGGTGGGGAACAGAAAAACGATTCACATATGTAAAAGAGGCAGACAGACACAAGGGTAGGGAAAAAGGTAAGGTGAGTACTGTGAAGGGGTCGAATATGACAACCAGGGGGTTCGTGGTAGTTTGAAGTCAGAAGTCAACTGCCGTTTAATAGACTTTTTTGTCGTATGAGTATACGTTGTCCAGGGTGCACCACGTGGAGGTAAGTCTATCGCACACCCCCTGCGCAAAAGTTATTTTGAAGATTACTATTCAATCAACCTGAGGAATGGATGCTAACTGTATTAAAGGCGAGTTCTGAAACTCTCTGATAATTTCATGTTGAGTCATTATTAATCAATTGCAAAGGCCAACTATATTTTCCCAATTCCAATTGGGGGTTTAAATGTGAGGCATTTAAAGACAAGCATATTCTCAAGTGCCTTAGGTCTGTACTATTCACTTTTTTATCCTTTTCAATGTTTCCAATGGGAGTGAGTAAAAAATGGAACCTAAACACAAGAAACTGTGGAGTAGTTGAAGGAAGAAATATCGAGGTTGGGGGGGGGGGAATTGAGATATCAAAAGATTTCCAGGAGATTATCGAAATGGACTTCTTTCATCCAAATCGCACGATCATCAAGTTGTCCGCAACGTTGTATTTTTTTTGGACCTTCCAAGATCCTAAAGTTCATATTTCATAGCGCCTTAGCGGCCTTTCATATGCGCTTTAGTGGTACAGTTGCGACTCTGTTTCCCGGTTAAAGATTGTGGAAATTCGATTTATTATTTCCCTCCAAATCCTTCGTTAATTAGAGTGGTTTATTGCTTACAATTGTTGATTCGGGGAGTTTTAGGGTCTTAAGAGGTAAATATCTGCAATTTAACCAAGCTCTCCTGCTATTACCCGGTTTTCAAAATTGTAGGCATTGTCCCAGAAGGAACACAACAAATTTCCACGGGAACAGGTCCGGCAGTAGCAGGAGAACCTGAGCGTTGGTTGCAAAAGAAGTACATTCCACTTGTCTCCTGCATTGTCAATCGGATAGAACAGATCCTCAACACATCTCATCTCCTTACTGGAACTCTATGGGATCGGCTCTTGGAATTCTCGCTGGCGGTTGGTTTCGCTGTTCTCTCAATTCCACCGCAGATTGAGTCCTCGGCCATCACAACCTCTCGACCTTTCTCTCAGGTGGGTTTGGAACTTTTCTAACTGCATAAAAAGTTCGTTTCCACTGACTACATACAGCATTCTGAGAAATTTCAAATGCTGTCAATGCCATAAGGCTTTAAGTTGTCCATGATTGTCATTTTTATCTACTTATCATCTGAATAGACCCCTTAACTCTCCTCTTGAGGCATGACAGAATAGATAAGCTGAAAATTTTAGCATCACTGCGTGGGAATGTGGCTCACTGTAGATGTTTTTTTAGAAATATAAAATTAGAGTTTTTTGTTTTGACTCATTCAAGGCGTCATTTATCTACAGATTATTAGGCTCAGCCTAATATATATATATATATATATATATATATATACATATCTATCCAAGTTGATAAATTCAATTCGTTCTCACATGAATATTTTTGTTCCCCGTGGCAAAGATATTTGGAGTCCCGCGTGGATATCGAAAGGCAACTTAATTTCAGGTTTTTCAGAGTGGCGAATGCAAAATATTATATATAGCAACATGGGGTGTGCGATAGACTTATCTCCACGTGGTGCACCCTGGGCAACGTATACTCATACGGCAAAAAAGTCTTTTACCGGCAGTTGACTTCTGACTCCAAACAACCATCATCACCCCACTGTATGCCATATTTGACCACTTCCACGATTCTCACCTCACCTTTTCTCGGCCTTTGTGTCTGCTTGTCTCTTTTACATCTGCGGATCACTCTTCTGTTCCCGCTCTCGACTTTTTTGACACTTTGATGTTCCTCCCCTTCCCCCTTTGAAGCCCGAAGTCAGCTAGAGGGCTAGTGACAACTATCAGAACGCTTGCCATTTGAAATAAATAAATGTGTAGCAAAATTTGCAAATATTTNCCCTGGTCAACGTATACCCATATGGAAAAAATTTATTAACTGACAGTTGACTTCTGACTCCAAACAACCATCATCACCCCACTGTATGTCATATTCGACCCCTTCCACAGTACTCATCTTACCTTTTCTCTGCTCTTTTGTCTGTCTCCGTCACATCTGTGAATCATTATTCTATCCCCCCCCTCTCGACTTTATGTCACTTTGATGTTCCTCCTCCTCTCTGTGAAGCCTGAAGTCAGCTAAATGGCTAATGATAACTATCAAAACGCCTGCCATTTGAAATAAATAAATAAATATGTAGCAACATGGGGTGTTCGATAGACTTACCTCCACGTGGTGCGCCCTGGTCAACGTATACCCATATGGAAAAAATTTATTAACTGACAGTTGACTTCTGACTCCAAACAACCATCATCACCCCACTGTATGTCATATTCGACCCCTTCCACAGTACTCATCTTACCTTTTCTCTGCTCTTTTGTCTGTCTCCGTCACATCTGTGAATCATTATTCTAT